TTTTCTTCTCTTTTCCTCCATATATTTATGTCTAGTCATCAAGTGATTCAGATTTTTTTAAACTATCCAAAAGTTCAGAGCACCCACATCCAGAGTTTTTGGCTTTAATGAATGCTAATAATTTAACCCTCTAATTATTGTACATGGAATCATACTTGTTGCCGAACCAGTAACGTTTTTTCCTGCTAATGCTAGTCCTTTTACCAAAGCACCAAAGTAAGTATCCCACCCCCCCTCCAGCTTTGGATGTTTTGATATTGAAGGCAGAGCTTGGTGACAGGTTCTTATGTAACCGAATTATACAAAGGAGAGCTAAGTATCAAATATAGCTAATCAGTGGCATGCTGGTGCTCAGTAGCCACGAACTGCCACAAGCTGAGCCTGGGGTCCAGCTGTTTCACTCACTGGTATCCTCAGGAAGCAGCTCAGACTATCTCTCCAGGAAGACATTAGCGCTGTTGTCAGGACACAGGTACAAAAGAGAGCAACACAGACAAACGGTCCACATGAACTACGGGTCACAAGTTACAGACATCAGAGGGGAGAGCAACTCATCAACACAATCTGAGCATCAAACAAGAAGTCCACCTGAAATCAGGCCTTTGGAAACTTTCATTCTCCACATACTCATTTTTATTCATTTCAATTTCAATATTTTAGACTGCAAAGTGGCCTGGTGAGTAAATACAATCCAGTACAGTTACAACTAAATGGAAAAGTTAAGTGAGGGGCATTGAAAAAGGGAGGAAGTGGAGATAGAATGCGAGGGTAACGGTTAAGGTGAGTGGAGGAGTATGGGAGAGGCACGGCCAGAGTTGTTCCGTGTGGGAAGAAGGAGGCAGGGAGTGGTTAAAAGAGAGGGGATTCCTCAGCTATGAATCAGCTTTCTAAAAATGGTCCCCATCATAACTCACAATCCCCTCCCTGCATGAGGCTGAGGGACAGCTCCTCTATTCTCCGTTTATCATACTCTTATTGATATCTTCTATCTCTCCCATAGTGACAAAGGATGCGCTGTGTGTAGTTTAGATACGTATACTAGCAAAGCAGAGAGCATTTTCCCTTCCCACAGGCTTTCTACCATAGTTGGTAATACTATGCAGTCTCACATGGAGACAGAAGCAGGGATGCTTCTGGGCCTTCCTCTGCGAGCTTTGATTCTAAATGCTCCACAATCGACAACACAATATTTAATATGAAGCAGAATTCATATTCGAACACAGGATCTCTGAGGTGTTGGTTCTTTGGGCTTCGTGGGCTGCAGTGCACAGATTTGCTCCAACACACACCATGAGATCGTGCAGATTGGGGATGGGCTAGGTGGGAGGGAAAGTTCCTGGAGCTGTGTGTGTGTGTGTGTGGGGGGGGGGGGGGGGGGGGAGGGTGCTTGGGGCATGCTCAGAAGGGTGTTCAGTCCTGACAGAGGGATCTCTGATCAGGGCAGCTCTGACTCCGGCCCATGAGCAACCCCACAGGCAGCAGAAGCACACTCCTGGCTGGAGCCCTGCAGCTCTGCTCTGTGGCAGCAGGAGGCTTCAGCTGTCAGAGAACCCAACACAGATGTAAGGGAGTAAATCTCCACTTACAGGAGCACGGGACCAGAAACACACACTCTGAAAGCTGGGGACAGGCGGTGGGACATAAAGACATTCTGGTTTGACTATAGTCGATACTACCACAGAACAGAAAACCATGAGAAAATACCCAAGAGTAAAATACATAGGAGTGAAAATATGAACACAGGAATGAATACAAATATCGAATGCTCCCAGGTTGACATAAAATGCACATCCAGCAGAAAATCCCTGAAAGCCTGGCAAAGAAAAGCCAGGAACACAAATCCAGTCCAGAAGGTGCTGGAAAAAGCAACCAGGTGAGCAGGGGGGGAACCCAGTCTGCAGAACCGCTGTGAACGGCAGGCAGGAAGCAAAACACGCCCACAGACACCAACAAACAGCAACAGACACTAACAGACACCAACAAACAGCAACAGACACCAACAGACACCAACAGACACCAACAAACAGCAACAGACACCAACAGACACCAACAAACACTAACAAACAGCAACAGACACTAACAGACACCAACAGACACCAACAGACACCAACAGACACCAACAGACACCAACAGACACCAACAGACACCAACAGACACCAACAGACACCAACAGACACCAACAGACACCAACAGACACTAACAGACACCAACAAACAGCAACAGACACTAACAGACACTAACAGACACCAACAAACAGCAACAGACACCAACAAACAGCAACAGACACTAACAGACACCAACAAACAGCAACAGACACCAACAGACACCAACAAACAGCAACAGACACCAACAGACACCAACAAACAGCAACAGACACTAACAGACGTCACGTAGCCCGCAGTCATTCAGAAGTGTTTTTATATTTCATTGTCTTTATTTTCAGCTTCGTTTATTGAGATGTTTAAAAACAAATTTTGCCAATATGCCAAAAAGGTTGATTTCAAATGAGCCCAAAACACAGAAATCAGAACCAGTCACACATCAGTAAACAGCTTTCATGGCTGTTCTGAATCACACTCGCTGCCTTCTGCTGATTCCTGTTTGGAAATATCCTGTTTTGACTTTCCATGAAAACGTGACTGGATTGCAGGGAAATTAAACATGTCCATAAAAATAATGCCTCCTGACTGTAATATGCTGCAGCAGAATCAGACGAAGGGGGTCAGTTCGGTTCCATTTAGACTCAGTCTGCCCACAAAAGACAGCAGCAGAGGGGAAATAAACCGAGTGTTGTGATGTTCTCCCGTCTCTTTAGACAAGGGTTTAGTGTGGGGGGGCCAGTCCGGGTTCGGGGGCGTTTTTCCTGCCACAGGGCTCCTGAACTCGGCCAACACCTGAACAATCCCAGCCTGTTTTGGTTTTCACTAGATGATGTTTCCAGTAGATTGCACAAGGAAACTGCAGCCAACAGCCTCCAGACTTAATAAGATACTAATTAAAAAGTAGATTTATGATGTTTTCAGATTGAATCACTTAAGTCACCAAATTCCTTCTGATTACATCAGCTGTTTCTCGCTTAGAGCTTCATTTTTTGTTCCACCTGGAGCCTGAAGTGTACACTACCAGCCAAACAGAATCTCACAGTAGGTTACAGCAGCATTCACGTACTACAATGGACAGATAGTGTCCCTGAGACAGCCCTCTGTGCAGGTTTAGTAGAACGAGTGAGTAAAGGAGACAGAGTGAGGTCAGACCAAGCCATGAAGTCTGAGTCAGGGGTGGAAAGTCTGAATGTTCCTGCTCCACTCTGCAGAAAGCTGAAAGCTATTACACACACTGCAACCACATGGACTAAAAAAGAAGCAGGGCTCTCCTCAAAAGAGGTCACTCCTCGATTGTTTTCCTTCCAGCTACCATGCCTGCACTTTATTTAAGACAATGACTATTATTGTAGTACATTCAAACTTTCCTCCAACGAAGTGGGGAGAGGAGTGGATCCCACATGAGCTAAAAACCAGCAGACTAACAAAAGCTTGCACCTCTGGACTCATATTTTTAGTTCCAGGACAAAACATATGTGGAGAGCCATCTAAGGGATTATTCAGTCATATGATAATGGGCTGGAGGCAGGGCAGAGGGGGGGTTAACTACATTTGGGGGCAACATTCACAGACACAGATGCCCTTTATGTCTTATCCAAGAGGGCAGTGGGATCTGACACATTAGCTTCCTAAGAAGGAAAGTTATCTTTTAGCCACGCTTGTGGTGTCTGCTGCCGTCTTTGGAGGCATCACAACCTGTGATCACCTCCCAGAATCATCACAAAGCCACTGCTGCATTATGGCTAATGGGACTATTTGAACGGTGCTATTGAGTCGACTGGACTTAAACTCAGGGGTCCCGCATTGGTTAAGGTCTTCTGTGTGGCACGCCCATCCCTCACAGCTGTTAGGAGAAAACGGTCTCACCTGGTAAATCATGACTTTAAAGTTGCGTCTCTTGAGCAGCTCGGCCTCGTTGGTCTCCAGCTTCCGGATCTGGCCGCCTTGCTTCTCCAGCGTGGCTCGCACCGTCTTCACGTTGACGCTCACCTTTTGGACCTTCTCCATCATCTTGTTGACACTGTTGGAGGTGGTGCTGTGGCTCTTGGCCAGCTTGGTCAGCTCGCCTTGGATGGAGGTGACCGAGCGCTCCATGTCCTGCTGCCTGGCCTCCAGCCCGCTCTGGGTCTGCTGGATCTGGTCCACCGCCCCGATGATCTTGTCGAGCAAAGACAGGACCATGACCCCGTTCATCTGCGGGTCTGGCTTGGTGGCCTGGTCCTTGTCTTCGGCGTCCCCCTCGGCGCCCATGGAGGACAGCTCCTTCCGGGCTGCGGTCAGGGCGCTGTCCTCATCGTCTGAGGCTGGAGGGTTGACCTCATCGTCTGAGATCTCAGTGAGGCTCTGAGGCTCCAGCAGGGCACTCGACGTCTCCAGTACTTCTATGGCTGCCATGTCAGGGGTCTGCGGCGTTTGACAGCTGGTGAACTTTTCTATTCTTCTGCTTCTTGAGGATTCTTTTCAGAATACTTTCTTGGTTCCTCCTTTCTTCTTATAACGGAACTCTTGCTCTTCCCTTTATTTAAAGAAAAAATTCTGCAACATACAGAAAGGGTTTCTTTTGGTCTTCTGTGCTGTCCTCTTCTGGTCCCTGGAGTCGGAGCAGTTTGCGAGGGGAGACACAGATGCTGGATGTCACCACATGAGCGTCAGGAATACCACACCAGGCAGAGAGCCCTGCAATCAAGCTGCAGCCTTCTGGGTATTTTCTCCCAACCCTTTTTCCACTAGACTCTCCCCCCTCACCAAACTCCTCCTTTATCTCCTCCCTGCATATGCCAAACATTAGGCAGACTCCTCCCAGGCTGAGCTCCTCCATGACTCAGGGACACACCCCCGGCCTTCCCCGTGTCCCTTTGGCACTGCTGGAAAGTTAGCCGAGCTTTCCGAGATGTTGTGTACAAGCCGAGGCACAGCCAGAGGAGGAATGTTTGGCTGCATCTGTTCCTGTTTCCACTCCTTTCTTCCTGCTCCGCGGAGCATGTTCAGCTCCGGCCAGCAGGGTTAGATTTACTGTGGAGGATACATGAAGACTTCTTCTGACCTGTTAGGGTGCTGTTGTTGTGTCAATAGTAGCAGCAGAAGCTAGAGTCATGAGGACCAGAGAAAATCAACTGTTGTGGACTCAGTGTCAGTGTTTCTCAGAGTGATGACTTATTCATCAAAAGTGTCTGCAGTAGATCACCTGAGCTGCATGTCATTTATTAAAGACATCGTGACTTCAAACATCAAATCAGACGACAGCTTCTGACCAGGCAGTGCTGACATCTGGTCACTTTTACTTCCGCTTTAGACCCTTTCACTCAGAAACAATCCGAAAGCCTTTTTACACAAACCGTTGGGTTTCCTGTCTCCATTCAGACTCCTGCTGGTACCCTGCTCCCTCCCATCATGGGGATGACAGCACTGAGTGAAAAGGCCCCACTGAGGAGTCCAGTGCATTCATCTCTAAGCCAGACCATGTGTCCGTTGGCTGGTTAACCTGCTGCAGGTCAGTCTTTTCTTACTGATGTCTCCTCCCAATGTTGGCTAACGGGCCACATACAGCTGGACAACCACACACACACAGTCCCTCCTAGGGGCAATTTAAGGTCTCCAATTGGCCTAACATGCCTGTTTTGGGATGGTGGAGGAGGCTGGAGTTCCCAGAGAGAAACCAGGCAGACACAAGGAGAACATGGAATCCCCACACAGAAGGGCTCAGGATCACCTTAAACCGTGGACTGTTTCCAAGTCATCTGGGCCCATTTCTACCTTTTACTTCTAAAGTCTTTAGGAAGTGATGGTATACACTGATTGAATATTCATTAAAACTTCACTCAAAGCAGTTGGAGCCAGGTGGGGTGGTGTCATAACAAAGGATACAATAGAAATTAATCTAAAAAGACAAAAACTATAAACTCGTTTCGGAAAATAACCGAATGTCAGAAATCTTTTGTTATTGCTTTCTGTTTAATGACAGCCAAACCTAAAACGCTGACTGAAGTCCTGACCCTAACCCTAACCCTCAGCCTAACAGCTGAAAACATGTGAACTGTTTCTATATGTGGCAGAGCTGCTTCATCATATTGTGCAGGTGTTGTTTGTTTCAGTTTGTACAGGCATAAACAAATCACACCTACATATCTACACACCCTAAAACAGAATGTGAATTCAGAACCATCTCAGACCTCGCCTGTGTCCAGCCCCTACCCATATCTAATGTTTCAGGGTGGGGTCTGTGGGCTCAGGCTGGGGCCAGTTCTGCATTTGGACCACCTCATTAGGTCCAGGCAGACTAAAGCCAGCTCTGTCTGTCGTTTCCTCTGACACCATGATCCACACGGCCAATCCAACTCTGCCTCTCCTCCCGGCCAAATACACCACACCAACACCTCAGTAAAGCAGAGTGTTCCTCTCTCATTTCCTCTCAGATACAGGAATTTGTCTTTCATGATTGATGTAATGATAATTCTGATAATATAACTGTATTTAAAATGTCTTCCCAGTTTAAAATGATTGATTTGTGGCAGAAAGAGCAGAGTTGAAAAAAACCCCTGTTTTTTAGCGTTAGCACTACTTCTTAAGACAGACTCAGGACAAGTATGAACAATAATCACTGTATACCACCAGCGTATCCAGGTGTCCACACAGAACTGAGGATAATCTGTAGACTGTTTTGGAATCCAGGAATTCCCATAATGTGGCTGAAAAAAGCCAAACAGGCAGATTTTAATGAGAAGCAGGAGCTTAGAGGCTGCTCCTCATTCTGGGTGCCATGTGTTCTCATCATTTACAGGCAAAAGAATGTTTTTTTCATTGTGCAACAGAAACATTCCTGACAGAGGAGTAATAGGTGAATAATCAGACTCAGATACAGAAATTAGAACAGCCCGGTGGCATGCACCCAGCTACACCGTGAGGAGTCCTGTTCAGAGTCCTGTTCTGACCCCTTTGAGCTGTCAGCAGGTCCCATGTGAAGGTCCTGTGACAACAGAAAATATGAGATCCATCTCACTTAACAGCAATGGTCACTTAACAGCAGCTATCCACAGCATTTCTAAAGAAAAACTCAAATTAGAGTTGACAAGCTCCTTCAGAACTAAATTCATTAATCTATGAATGAAGAGACCACATGCGAGTAAAGACAGCTGATGAAAGTAACTGAACATAAAAAGTTGTTTCTTTTTGTCTTATGTATGATTTTGGAGACAGGAAACAGCTGCAGGTGTACGGTGGGAGAAAGGTGCCAAAAAAACAAATGATTCATTAAAGCTGCCATTCATGCACCAAAACTTTACCAGTTACCACTTCTATGTGTCAATCATTATAAGAATGATATATAAATACATGTAGATACATAATATGATAACTTCTAACTAATATTTATAGTTAGTATTAAGTATATTAGTTAAGTACAGTAGATAAATAGATATATATTTATAAATAGGTAAATAGATACTTCAATGCACCCCACAATTTCCATAAACAATTTCCCCAAACTTAAACCTGGCATCATCATATCACAGCGAGATGTCCTGGTTCTGGTTCAAAACCAAGCACGTTAGCATTGTCAGTAAGTAACATATGGAAATGATAGTATTATCAAAATAAGAGTCTATATCCCGTTGGTAGAATTTTTTGTGATTTAAATGATCTGTCATCTATTTTATGCCCTAATTTTCACAGTTTAAAAATGTAGTTAAACTGAACATTTTGTCCTAAATGGGAAATGTAAGTTAGCTGTGCTTCTATGTAACCACATCCACAGAAGGTGCTTTAGCCATTAGACGTGGAATCTCTA